GTAGAAAGAACTTACTGTGGTTTGTGGGTTTGTGGGGGTGGTGGTGGCTATCATTCTTGCCTGCTATTTTAGTTTGGGTTAAATTGCAAATTAATGTATCAAGTAAATATTAAATTTTCAAAAATCCTGTTGCCAAGTGTATTGAATATAGTAGTAAAGGTCGGCGTGGAGAGAAGTGGGTAGATTTAGGAGATGTAGGATGGAGTGACAGCATTGGTTCATAGTTGGCCTGTGGGGGAGGCAGGGGGAGGACTCTGGTTTGGACCACTGCATGGACACTGTCAGCCACTTAATACACAGTCAAGAGTACAACTATAATCATCCTAGAGGGATCCGTAGAGGGTAAACACTGTCAACAAACTTGCAACCTTTTCTAAGATTTAAAATCCCACAAAGTTATTCTTATCTTCATGGGGTCAGCCTTATTTTTTTTTTATTAAAATGAATTTAGTTGTTAAAGAAAATTGTACCAGAATTATAAAGTTTAGAAGAGCTAAATTTAATAGGCTCTTTTGATTAGCTATATTAAATAAATGTTAATGAGCCACTTTCTGTTCAAATTGCCCTACGTTGGGCCAACGGGCCCTACTGCAGTTAGCTCTGGTGTCATTTTGACACAACAATGGTAGTCTTAGGTAGCTTCCATGTTTTCTGGTAAGATGTTCCAGGTTCACCTGTTACATTTCCTGCCCCAAGTCTGGAATCACTAGTTTTTCTGAGACTCCTGGTTCCTTTTAGCAGGGAATAGTATTTAAAGACCACGATGAGTAGGTTGGAATTTTTTTTCTAGTGTTTTTTTCTTTTTAGTGGACATAGCTAGCAAAATGCTTTACAAGAACAAAATACATCACTAATTCATAGGACTATTTCTAATTCAGATGGAAGTTTGGCTGGATTTTACTTATTTTGTAAAATAAGTAAATGCTAAAAATATGGTTCACAACCATATTAGTGTATATTATTACTAACAATATTTTTCTGAAATTTAATTTGTTTACAGGAATTTGTTTTTCTTTCTTTCTTTTTTTAATTTGTTTTTCTTTTGCTGCTGTTCATTTTTTTGTTTTCTGTTTTGGTCTTTGTGCTGTGTTCCCCTGGGGGGTGCACACCACCATCGAGTTGATCCTGACTCATAGAAACCCTATAGAGCAGAGCAGAGCAGAGCTGTTCCTTCAGGTGTTTGAGACTGTCAATCTTTGTGGACACAGACAGCCTCATCTTTCTCCTGAGAAGTGGCTGATGGGTTTGAACTGCTGATCTTGGGGTTAACAGCCAATGCCGAACCCACAGTGTCACCAAGACTCTCTTCCTCTGGGCAAGTCAAATTTACTATGTTTTGAATTTTAAGAATCATTTAAAATAAATCCTATGAGTTTAAACCAGAAACTCAATAACTAATTAGGTTCATTTGTTTAAATTTCCTTTTTATCTTTGTGTTACTTTAAAAACTTGGGTCAATTATATTTTATCATTGTTCAAAATATAAACTTTATTCCAAAGGCAAATCTTCAAAACAAAGTACACCCAGATAGCCCAGCTTCTCTCTCTTGCTCACCGCATCTCTTCCTTCCTATTATGTGTAACCATATAAAATTAGCTTTTAGTTTATCCCTTTTCCCCCTCAGTATAAGAAAATGTGTGTACCAGATATACTCGTGTATAAGCCGAGTTTTTCAGCACATTTTAAATGCAGTTTTTATGGTAAAATTAGGTGCCTTGGCTGATATCTGGGTCGGCTTATACTCAAGTACATACGGTATATATTTTAAATTCTCCTTGTTTCTTAGGTAAAAGTTAGCATATTGTGCACCTTTTTCTCCACCTGCTTTTTTTCTGTTTATACTTTAAAAAAAAATTCCTAGACTTCTCAGAGCTGCGTAGTATGCCACGTACCATTGATAATGGGCATTTAGACTGGTTTCAGTGGTTTGCAATGACAAGTAGTGCTTCAGGGCCTGTGTCTGGTGCATATGCTGGGTTTTCTGGGTTTACTTTCACTTGGGGACCTGGTGAGTCAAACACAAAACCTTGTCATTGTGCTCACTCATTCACTGCCATGGGCTTGATTCCGACGGGTGACCTGGGAGGACGGAGTGGAACCTCCCTGTGGGTTTCTGAGACTCTACAGCTTTACGAGAGGAGAAAGCCTCATCTTTGCCACGGCACGGAGAGGTTGGGGGCTTCCACTGCTGACCTTGCAGTTAGCAGCCTTGCAGTTAGTAACCCACACGCCACTGGGACTCCAATGAGATACTTCCAAATTCCACTCCGACTTAGGGGTTTATCAATTAGTATTCTTAGTGTAGAGTTTGGAAGGAGGTCTGACACGATTCCTGGGCAAATGTAGAGTTCTCTGATGAGTTTTGAGAAGCCTATACAGGGAGGTCCCTTTTCAGTTTGTTTTCTTTCCACCTTCTCTTATCATACGTGTCTTTAGAGTAACCGTAGACTTGAGACCAACTTTTTGGTCACTTTGCTTTTCAAAGGAAAGCGGTGGGAATCAATTCAATCCACGATCAACTCTCGTGTCCTCTGTCCCACTTCAGCTCTGAAGCAGGCACACGGCAGCGCTTCTTCCTCTCACCGAGGTCGCAGCTCGCGAGTTAGGGCACAGTCCTCCAGATGGCCACGCCTGCCCAGGCCCTCAGAGTCCAGGGAAAGCTTAGTCTCCACAACACCCTCACTTCCGACCTGCTGGCCTCAAAGAAGTGTTCCCACTGCCCTTCCAGGATGGCAGCTGCACGTGGCATCACATCTGACCTGCTGGTTCCGCCTCTGCCTTTGGGTTTGACAATTTGATAGAAAGACTTACGAGGTCACAGAAAGCATTGTACTTGCTAGGACAGTCTTGTCTGAGCACAATGCATACTAACGAAGAGGTCCGTAAGGAGAGGTCCGGGAGGGGTCCCAGCACAGACTTTACAGGTTCCGAAAAAGGACCTGCTCTCCGACCGTGCGCACCCATGCCTGGCACCAACCAGACCTTTGTTAGAGGACTTCATTATGTGGGTCTGCCCAACCAAGTCACCTCTCTGAGGTTGGCTGGTGCCACGGGATGGGTTTGTGGTGGATCTGAAACCACCCAATGTTCTGGGGGAGAAAGAGGAGGCATTCTATTATATCTGCACCCATAAAGCTTTACAGTCTCAGAAACCCACAGAGGCAGTTCTACTCTGTCCTGTAGGGTCACTTTGAGTTGGAATTGACCTGAAGGCAGGATGGCAGTGAGTGAGTAAATGGGAGGGTCTCTCAGGAACGGGACACCAAGACCAAATTCTTTGGGTAAGGGAGAATTTCCTACTACACAAAAGCTTTCTGCTTTCTTAAACTGCTAATTCATAGCACTTCTCTATTCAGTTTTGTACACTATTACTGGGCATTTACTGCTGGCAAGGCAATCGGATATGCATTGGCAAGATATACAGAAAAATGAACATAACCCCTCTCTTCTTCGCATCCACAGTCTGAGCAGGAAGACAGCCACCTAACACAAGAATGGCGTCTAGGAAGGCTTCTGGGTAAAATAGGGCTTGGATTGGCCCTGACAGAGGCATTTTCTCGGAGCTCACCTTTTGAAGGGAGACTCAGGCATGGGAAAGAATGTCGTGTTCAGGGGAGGGTTATTAGGCCCATGTGGCTGTTACAAGAGTTTCATCAAGTCCTCCAATACATCACAAGTTAGACCTGTCTTTAAACTGTAGAAATTAAGCTTTAAATCTGTCACTTTCAGTTTTTGATTCCTTTCTGGGTATATGTGGGAAACCTGGAAAAGTGTTTTAAGTTTGACCCCCCCAACCACCTCCACCCCCAGTGTTTCTCTTCTTACCTTGAGCCCACCCCTTTACAACAGGAGGCCCAGAAAAAGTCCTAGTGGCACAATGGTTAAGTGCTCAGCTGTGAACCAAGGTTGGCAGTTCAAGCCCACACAGTGGCTCTGGGAGAGAAAAGCCTGGCCATCATCTCCTCTAGATAGTAAACCCCAAGCCCACTGCCATTGAGGTGAGGCTCACTCACGTGACCTAAAGATTACAGTCTAGAAAACCCTGCGAGACAGTTCGATTGCTACATGGCGTCACTGTGAGTCTGAACTTGATAGCATCTAACAATAACAACGTGAGACGCTGGGACCGCCGGAGATTTGAAGACCTTGAACACTGAGAGGGGAAAAGGGTGGAGAGATGGTGGATGCTTGGGGTGGGAGCAGCTGAGTATTTTCTGTGAGAGAGAGAGAGATCTTGATTCATATTATCATTAACCTGTGTGGGCAGGGTCACAATGGCCCCACCTCTGTAGCTTTGGTTGGACAACCTTTTCTTGCTCATCCTGACATGGGGAAATGAAGTTGTTTCATATTTTTGGGGAATTAGACTCAACTAGAACTTGTACACCACAGGACATGGGATGTGAAAGCAGACATGAGCCCCTCAGAAGCTATTCTTTCATTTGTAGCTGAGGAAAGGGAAGGCCAGAGAACTCCTTGTGTTTCACTGAGGGTGTCTTATCTACGTGGTGTGGGACCCCGGGGCGCAGCCCTCATTCCTCTCTCTTGCACCAGCACCAGCTCCTCACCGAGCAGTCTGCTGTGCTTTGCCTGGGGGGAGCTGGAGGCAGTGCTTCAGGGATTTAGGGGCTAACTCGCAAATCAGCATTCATTGGCCTGTTCTGAGTTTCCTTTATGAGTTTTAAATATAGCATAATAGCCATCGAAAATAAATCTTCAGATTCCAAACTTGACATTGTCCTTCAACTCCATTCTCGGCCTTGAGTTACAAGGACATATTTCCATTTTATTGCAAATTGAACAGAAGCAGTTTTACAACACAGCCAGCAGCTTAGCAAGCCCACTGTAAGTTCCAAAGATTTATCTCGAATGAACTTGGAGGTTGCACGGGTATCAGCATTCCCAACGGTATCCCTCCAACTGCTCTGAAAGGGCTGTGGACAGTTCGCTGGTGGTCTCAAACTGTAAATTATACCATCTGCATTCTTTTCCCTTTTAGGACCAGATTTTTATGGAAAACGTAGGTGCAGTGAAGCAGCTCTGCAAACTAACCAACAACCTTGAAGAGAGAATAGAAGAACTGGAAATATGGAACAGCAAGCTGGCCAGGCTAAAACGGCTCAGCAGTTTGAAGTCCTCAGTGAGCAAAGCAAGCTCCATCAGGTACACTCAGAATTGTCAGAACATTTTGAGTAAAGGAGAGAATGGGATGCTTTCACAGCTGCATCGACCTCAATGATCTTTTTTGATGAAGCAAAACCATTACTTTCTCATAATGAAGCTCTCTTTCTCCCTTTAAAATGTTTTGTGTTGTTTGATGTGATACCTTTTCTTAAAATGTTTTTAGACACCAGCAGCTTCTTAAAAAAGAGCTCTGGTGGCATAGTGGGTTACGAGTTTGAAACCACCAGCCACTTCACAGGAGAAAGATGAGGCTATCTACTCCTGTAAAGATTGACAGTCTTGAAAACCCACATGGGAAGTCCTACTCTGTCCTGTAGGATTTCTATGAATCAGAAGTGAATTGATAGCAGTGATTTTTAACATAATCCCCCCCTTTTGAAAAACCATCTTCTTAAAACGAAGCACCAGTACTCCGCTTACTAGCAATCGTCATAGAAAGTGCTGATTTTAGCAAAAGGGTATCTCCTATGTTAGCAGGGAGAGGTGGACATTTCTAAATTCAGAAAATCGTGTTTAGTTCTCAGGAAAACTAACTCCCAACAATATTATTTTAAAAAAATGCTCGCTTAAGGAGGTAAATCACATTTCCTGGGGTTTCATTTTGAGAAATGATGAAATGTCATGTTTAATGCATTCATTTGTGTTTGCTGGAGTATTTTCCCACAAAAAGAACTGTCAATTGCCTTGATTTTTCCTCTTCTTAAGTGACGTCTCTAATGCAAAAGAAAGCCATCCTGCTGCCTTAGAGACGGCCTGGACCATTGTCAGATAATGCCTGAAGAAGCGTTGGAATTGTAATCAATTTTCTCTCTCTTTTTAAAAGCAAAATTAGCAGAGCTGGTAGTGCATCTTCTCCAAGAAGGGCCATTTCTCCAAAATCCAACAAGGTAAATAGATTCAAATTTATAATAAACACAGACGCTATTTTCTACATGCAGGGACACACATGCCCATACACACGCATACGTCTTTAGAGAAATTGGTCAAGAATTATTTTTCCATTCATTTGTTGGTAGCTGACATATTTTACATCCAAACCACGTTAGCTGTTTAAATATTAACTTTTTAACAGTTAATATTCCCTGGTGGTGCTGTCGGATAAGTTGTCAAACCCAAGGTTGATGGCTTCAAACAAGCCACTCCCAGGGAGACAGTTGAGGCAATCTACTCCTCTAAAGGTTGACAGCTCTGGAGACCCTGTGAGTGGGAGTGGACTTAATGCCATGAGTCAATTTTTTGAGTTTGGGTGGTTGAAAGTTAAAGGTTGTAGGTTTGAAACTTCTTCCCCTCAACAGCTAGGAAGAAAGGCCTGGTGATCCACTTTGCACAATCTGCGACTGAAAACCCTATGGAGCACCGCTCTACTTTAACATACATGGGCCAAGTCTAGGAGTCATTTCAGAAACATTTTCAGTGTTTGTTTATGTCATCCTCGTTGGGTGAAACTCACCAGCCTATCCAGGCCTCTGGCCTGCGCTGCAAGGTCTGTGTGCCAGCAAGTGAGCCCGGATTCCAGACTCCCTTCTCTTTGGTTTCAGAAGACCTCACAGGGCCTTGCAGCTGATCCTCCAATTCCTTTAATATTGAACATTGCTTACGCAGATGGAGAACAGGCATTCACTTGATTGCAAAGGTTAAAAGGTGAAGGTCTTATTGATGAATAAAGATAGCTTGAGCTGCTGCTTAACTAGAGAATAGTCGGCAAAGTCATCAGTTAGGGGAGTGTTGGCAGTGCAGATGTGCAGGTTAATCAGTAATTCACTTTCAGGAGCCCCGTCTCCAAGATAGAGAAGTATCAGTCGGTGGAGACGGGGATTGCCGGGAAGCTAACGGCTTCTCTTCTAGCTACTGTAGGTGGGCCGCTGTGGAATGCCACTTGCTCCCTCTGGCAGCTTTCTGCCAAAGAGCCCTTTCCACCTGAAGAAATTAGTACTTCTTCACATAATCTTAATTAGTACTCTTTGAATGGCTGACCGAGGAGCCCTGGTAGGCATAGTGGGTTAAGCATTGGACTGCCAACTAAAGGCTCTGTGATTTGGACTCACCAGGTTTGGAGACCCGATGGCTCGATTTGTTTTGCTCTGTCCTAGAGGGTTGCTATGCATTGATACCGACTTGTCAGTAATGAGTTTTGGATAGGGTAGGGCTGAGAGATGAGCCACTAGGCTAGTTTGCTCTGAGTCAGAAAGCGTTTGAAATCCTTCTATATTGAAAACTACCAAAGGACCTCTGATAAGCTTCTCATCATACCAACAAACACAAATATACCTAGACAAGATACTTAATTGCACAAGAAAATGAAGATCATGATATCTACTTTACAAATATTCTTGATAGGATTTAGCAAGCTAACGCTCCTAGCACAGTGCTCAGTAAACACAGATGAAAAACATTGTAGAGTAACGCTCCTAGCACAGTGCTCAGTAAACACAGATGAAAAACATTGTAGAGTGAAGGCACTCTTTGTACTAAGAAGTCTCCAATGAGACCAAGGGCATTGTGTCTACATTAATGGCAGCCTGGGCTTATCCTCTTAGGCCACCTGCAAATGCTATAGCTGTGTCCGAACATCCTATTTTGCAGTGATTGACCATCCTAGCTAGAGTATGAGAGCAAGTAGCAGACCTGTTTTCCTCATTCTATATTCCCAGGGTAGCTACTTATGTTAGTCTGGGTAGACTAGCGAAACAAATTCATAGACACTCATATGTGTATAAGAAAGAATTATATATACAAGAGTATTGAGAAAACATCCCAGCCTAGACAGATCAATTCCATAAGTCCAATATTAGCCCATATGTCCAATATAAATCAATAAAGTCCTCTTCGGACTTACAAAACACATGTAAAATGCAGGAAGATCACAGGCCAGTGGGTGGGAAGTCTTGTGGATCCAGTGACATGTCAGCACTGGCAGGAGTCTCCACGTGGTTCCTTCAGCTCCAGAGGTCTGGCTCTATCAGCCTCTCCCCATGTGTTTTCTCCACAGGGATATCTCACAGGGAGTGAGCAGAGAGAGGGTGTGTGTCCTGCCTCCAAGGAGGAAATACAGGAGTTCTCAGAATTCTCAGGAGAAGGCCATGCCCACACAGAGGTCTCATTGGCTGTATCCTGGTTGACAGGCTAGATTCCACCCCTACACTCTTAATCCTCAAATGACACCAGATTATATAATTACCACAGACCACCCCTTGTCAATTTGACACATTCTCATAACTCTTTAACCATATATAATTTTCAAACAAATAATAAAATCATATCTGTACCTAATAGGATAAAATTAAAATGCATATAATTAAAAATGTGCCACCCTTATTTAAACATAATGAACAAACAAAAATATCCTATACTTATGCAAATACCTACACCTTAATCCTATAATCCTATGAATATATTGCAGCACCTATGAAAGTTTAAGCCAACCACTTCATGCCTTTATCCCCCAATTTTGGATATCCAATTTTATTCTGCCCACTTATACCCCAGTGCTCTGAGGAGACAATCATGTTCTTTGAATCTTCATTGCAGTTGGAACCTTGCGAATCCACATCCATAAGCAAAGTCAAATCAGGACAGGCCATCCATAAAGTCAGTAGTAATATGCACCAGTTCACAGGCTCAAAAATCCTCTCTTCATCTGGTTGGGTTCTGGTTAACTCAATGTGGGCTGTCTCACCAGGGTTCCCATTGGTCACCTTGCCTTTAGACCATGGCCCCATCACAACTTCTCAACAAGCCTAGCCCTCTTGTGCTAGGTCATGAACTTCAGACCAGTCAACCTGCTCTCATCTCCTCTAGTTCCTGTAAACCAGGCCCATGAGTGTCAATGGCCAGACTCAACTTTTCTCTTTATTGCTGCTTTTCTCCCACTTCCACTTGACAAGTGGATCCAGGTGGTCACCTAGCAACCATTTCAGCCTGCCCACAGGCTCCCTTTAACATTCAGTCCTAGAGAGGAGTTTTCTTCATGGTTCCAGATTTTTTTTCAGCTACTGGCACAAACCACTAGTTCAAAATTCTATAATCCAAAGAGTTCCTTTTTTCCCCTTTAATCTGTCAACAACAGCCCCTAAGGCAAGACTCTTCAAATACAAACATCCAGAGTACAGTACTCCAAAGCACTGGGTGGGGCTTATCTTTCCACAGCCTTCTTTGCAGACATGCCCTAAACCCATTTAAGGATCAAATTTTTGTTTGTTTGTTTTTTAGACCATTTTATTGTTACCAGCCATACATCATTTGTATCCAACCTATTAGTACATATATTCCATAATTCTTTTCTAGACATTTACTTTCTATTGAGCCCTTGGGATCAGTTCCTCTTCTTTTCCCCCCTCCATCTTCCCCACACCCCCAGGCCTCGTGGGCCCTTGATAGATTATGGATTCTTAATTATTTTCAAGTCTTACACCGACCACTGTCTCCCTTCCCCTCTGGGTTCTGTTGTTCTTCCCCCTGGAGGGGGTGTGTGGTTATTTGCCATTCATTGCGATCGGTGACCCTCTCCATTCCTACCTCTCCCCACCTTCCCCCTATCCTTTTGGTATCTTTATTCCCATTCCTGTTCCTGGGTTCCATGTGTTGTGAGTTTTATCTCTTGCCTATACCTATGTACATGCTTCTGTCTAGTCCAGAGTGGGAAGAGGCACTGGGGTAATGATAGTAGGGGGTGAGGGGGCCTTAAGGGATCAGAGGTATATTGTGTGATCTATTAGTGCTCTACTGTACCCTAATTGGTTCATCCCCTCCCTGTGACCTCTCTGTGGAGGGATGTTCCATTGTCCACAGATGGACTTCAGGTCTCCGCTCCAACACCCCTCCATTCTCACTAATGTATTTTTGTTTGTTTACTGTTTGTTGTGAATCTTCTGATGCCCATTGCCCAGTTTCGATGACACCTCACTATCACACCGGCTGGTGTGCTTCTTCCATTTGGCTTGTTGCTTCACTGTTAGAAGCCCTCTTGTTTAACTTCAAACCTTTAAGACCCTAGCCACTATATCTTTTAATAACTGGACACCATCCTCTGTCTTCATCACATCTGCTTATGCACCTGTTTTGTCTTCAACAATCACGGCGGGGTGGGGGGATGGTGAGCATCACAGAATGCACATTTGTTAGAACAAAGTGCTCTTGTATTGAGGGAAGGTATGAACTGAGGCCCCAGGCCCATCTGAAGCCTCAGTGTACTGCCTTATAAATATATGTACATAGACCAATACTTCTATTGTTATGGTTTAATGTATTTACATAAGTGCACACCTCTGTTAATCTCCCTATCCATGCCTTTGCTTCCTAGTGCTTGCCTCTGTTTCCTTTTGCCTCCTCCTGCCCCGCCATCACTTTCCCCTTCTTCCACCTCAGTGCTTCCTCTCCTCTAGCTTGGTGTTGCTCTAATACTCACAGGATCTCCACCCTCTCCTAGATGCTAGTTCCACTTCCCTAGTTGTTCCCCTGTCCATGACCCCGTCCACACCTTTCTCCCCACCTCCTCCTTCCCCTTATACCTTCCGGGCTTACAAGCTCTCTAATTTCATACTTCCTAATAAACATTTCTATCAAACATTGTATCAATAATAAGCAGAAGTAATCAGTGTAAACAAAGTAGAATCAGATATTAAACTCAAGTATTAAAACAGTCAAGTTCAATCCTTATTTAGCTTATCTTAATTCTTATCTAAACTCTTCTATTGATACAAAAATATGGGCGTAGGCCTCTGAGAGCATCAAACCAAATCCAGGTTTTTGTTTCTCTAGTCCACCCAGACTAACATACTCCTAAAGAAATTTTTGTAAAACAAATGCATGCATGGAAGCATAGGCTGAAAATATTCCTGACTGCTCCCAAATAAAATTTAAAACACTAAGTGGTTCAGTGTCTTCAGCTGGTGGGCGACTAGGATGTGAACACAGAATCGGGGATGTATATGGGTGTTAACACCCATTCAACTTAAGAGATCCCTTGTAGTCACTGTCCTAGCTAGACCTGTAGGGAGCAGACTGAGATGAGTAAGATGTGGTACCTTTTCCCAAAGAATTACAAGGATAGAGCAGAAGGGATATGACACTGGATGTGATTAAAGCTGCAGAGGCTCAGCCTGCTGCGGGAGCATGAGGGACACTGCCGGCCAGATGCTCAGAGGAGCTTTAGGAGAGGTTTCATATGGAACGACTTAGCACAGAGCTGGAAGCTAGACTGCCTTCACTGGAGGATTGCCTGAGAGTAGGGCGGGGTGGATAGTGGAGGATAAGGGTGAAAATATAGGCAATGGCCCGATTCTTCTAGACCAGGGTTTTGCAAACTGTGGCTCAAGAGTCATAAGCAGCTCTTTTGGTACATATATGTGGCTCTGAAATAAAATGGAAACATTCTAAAGGCTATTATAAAGGCTACAATTAGATAATTATGATTTCATTTGTTTATAAAATATATTTATGGCTCTTGAATAATTTTTTAAATTTCATGAGGGACAGGATTGGCTCTTCTGATTCAAAAGTTTGCCCACCTCAATTCTACACTATCAAGCTATTATATTAGTATATATAAAACATGCCAGAGAGTGCATGGTCTATACATGCTGTTTACCAAACGAAGAAACAAAGCCCATTGTCAAGTCAATTCTGACTCATAGCAGCTCTAAAGAACAGAATAGAACTGTCCCATCTTTCCAAAGGTGATACAGCTTTAGAGGAACAGCCTGCCACATTTTTCTCCCTGGGCTGGCTGGTGGGCTCAAACCACCAACCTCTCAGGCAACAGATGAGCCCTTAGCCACTGTGCCACTAGAACCCCTCCAGCATGGAATGGTCTCAAAGCTTTCAAACCCATTATCTCAGTGATTTTCATATAGTAGTGCATACCAGAATCTTCTAGGAAGCTTGATAAAGTAAATGGAATGGAGGTGTTTTCCTTCCTTTGTGCTGTTCTTCTTAGGAGGGGTCTCAGGAATTTCCTGAAGGTAGATAGATTAGATAGATAGATAGATGATAGATAGATAGATAGATAGATAGATAGATAGATAGATAGATAGATAGATAGATAGATATGCCATGACCAGTCTCCTAGGTGTCCTCTGTTCTTAGGAGCCTCCAAGACTGATTGGGTTGGGAGAAATGTTGAGCAAGAGGACAGGACTTCCAAGATTGGTTGAATGGAGAGAGCTTTCAAGTAAGAGGACACATTGTGGATAGTTAGTATTCTTTACCAGATGAGAAGAATGGCTTGTCCCTGCCTGACTTCCTTCCATGCAGCTCCCCACACTGGCTGCCATGATTCTCATTTTAAAGGCACATTGAGGCCTCCTGAGCTGGCTCTCATCCAGTTCATAGGATTCCTCTCTGTACTTCTAAGAGATAGGTCAGTGATTCCTGCTACATGTAGGTATTGGGGTAAGATGGTAAAGCCCCTAAGAGTTTACTGAATGTGTGGAGAGTGTGAGATGGGAGAAGGAATGTATCTTGATAAATCCTTTTCATTATCCAACTGCTTGCACGTTCCCAGCTCTCATGTGTGAAACATGCAAGCTGCTTTCATGGGTCACCTGATTTAAGTGTCCAGGAAACCTCTGCCCAGTTCCTCAGTGGGATTCCCCACCAATTCTCCATCTATCATATTGGCTGGGTCCATACACCATCCATGTCTATGCCAATTCCTACCCATCTTAGTACTTGGTCTCCTTTGCTTGCTACAGACTGTAATTTATGTATTTTATATCCCTTATAATGTTGTCCACAGTGATCAATAAATATGTGTTGACTGGAGAAGAAAATAAATAAGACACAGGCCCTGAGCTGTCCTTATACATAGGTGGTTGACTTAATATCTATGCATAGCATTTAACGAGTGCTTAGTAGGATTTTGTGCCACAAATATCTTCCCAGGGTTTGTTGCAATACTTGGATTTTGTCCACTGGAACTTATTTCTTCATGTCTTGCAGAACTTTGGGTTTTAAAAGTATCCATTTACAAGAGATGATGGGGCTCTGGCTGTGTGGGTCTGGTAGGGGGATAAGTGCATAAACTCTGCCAGAACAAATGCCCGAGAAATGGCAGAGACAATCTTGTCCTGCAGGATTCTAGAGACAAGAGAGCCCATTGTAGGGAGGAAGATCAAGGAAAGGAGGTGACGTGAGGTAGGCTGGGAGTTCTCAGAGAAGCAGAGAGGATTGGGGGTCTTGGGGGGTGTGCTTTGAGGAGAGCACTCCCACCATCTCAGAGGAGCAGAAGGGGACCTTGTGGGGAGCAGTTCTCCGGGTTTCCTTCTCTCTGTTAGTGTCTCTGATTTATCACTGCTCGTTACTGAAACTTTTTATAGGTTTATTTTTCAGGAAAAAGACAGGCGTGTCCTAACTGGGTTTTCCAGACCTTGGTCATAACTCTAATTGCTGTGATGGCATTTTGGTAAGAAAAACGTCCATGTCACCTGGTGTCAAGCTCTTTCCTTCCTGTCTTTTCCTTCTTCACGTATGAACGGGGCTGACCTTCTGTGTACTTTGAAGAGAAGAAGCCTTTTAAACCAAGGACCCACCTTCTGTGTAGCTCAGCGATGAGAGAGCCCTTTGTTTGGCGCTCCGTCTGAAAGAACAAACGCATGTTTTCTGCACTTCCGGGTGGGATAAAGGGAGACTCCTTAAACACAGAGGCATTTTTTTTAATCAACTTATATCTTTTTAGCACTGTGTAAATGGGTCTGTGCGTGTGTGTCTTGCTTAGTCTTGCATGTAATTTTTTCTTTAATCTCCTCTTTATGTTCATTAAGCAAGTAGACAATCTGCTTCACCCTATTACTTAGGATGCTTTTGGATTTTTCAGTGAAAATCTTTGAGTAATAAGATAAAACTGGAGTCAAATCGACTAAGTGACTAAATCAAGCAAAGGCAGTATTTGCTGTGTTGGCAATAGTGCCCCCGGGAGGCAGGAATGGGAATGATCTTTCCCTGGCCTCTCAAAGACCTTGGAGCCCTTGTCAACCTGTGCTCCGTGGGCCTCTCCCTAGACTGTTGAACATTCCTTTCTTGTTTTGAGTCTGCTTTTTCAGACAGTGAAAGGAATATTTGCTCCCCTCTCTCCTGAGCCCTGGTGGCATTGGAAACCACCAGCAGCTTTATACTCCCATAAAAATTTACAGCCCATAGGGGAATTTTCTACTCTGTCCCATAGTGTCACTGTGAGTTGGAATCAACTCAATGGCAGTTTATCTATCTATCTATCTATCCATCTATCTATGCATACACACATGTTTACATACATATATACACACACATACACACATATCTCACTCACTGCCATTGACTCAATGCTGACTCATAGCAACCCCCTGTGGGTTTCTGAGACTGTAACTGTTTACCAGTAGAAAACCCAGTCTTTCTCCCACAGAGCTGCCTGTGGTTTTGAACTGCTGATCATAAGAACCGAAGCCCAACATGTAACACTATATTCCCAGGGCTACACACACACACACACACACACACACACACACACACACACACACACGTCTCCCCCAAAGGCTTGACTGGTATGGAAAGAGACGGGCTTCTGGGCTTTGCTTCAGCAGAAACAGCCGTTCTCCCAGAGCGCCCTCCTTTGCAAGGTGCTTCTGGTTCCTTGAGCTAAAGCAGCTGCCTAGCTGTGGGATCCTGGCAGGGCTCTCTGTACTCTTCTCTCCTCCTAGCAGTTTCACTTTGAACTTGCTACTGCCCACTGTGGGAAGTTCATCCAAGTATTTCACACAGAATTCTCATAGAAGCCTTGCTGTCTTCTCACTCTGCCTGGACTTGTCCTTCCCTGCCGGGATTAGCACCTCGGGAGAGTACAAATACCAACTCTAATAGGCACACTTAACCTTCTGTAGAGACTCAGAGTTCCAGGCGAGCTAATGGAAAGCAGAAGTTCTGAGGGGTGGATACTACTTTTGAACAAGCGTATCTGCTCCTCAAAATTCTGAAATCATTCACCATCTAATACCATGAATGGAGGTGTTAGGTTTGTTATTTGTTTCTGCCCTAAAAGGGTCAAAACAAGAGAATGTCCCTCTGTGAAGAGAGCAGATCTCTATTTTGTTCCAGGTCGTGTAAGTTCCCTGGGTTATATGAGGGGCCTTCAAAAAGTTTGTGGAAAAATTCTATTATCTTTTAATTGAAAATTGTCATGGACTTTTCAAAGCCCTCTCACATATTAAGCTGGATAACAGAGACAAATCAGAAAAAACACTTTAGGATTATTACGGGGGTAGGACAGTGAGGGGGCCTGGACAGACATGAAATAATACTAATAATTTATAAATTATCAAGGGTTCATGAGGGAGGGAGAGTAGGGGAGGGAGGGAAAAACGAGGAGCCTATACCAAGGGCTCAAATAGAAAGTAAATGTTTTGAGAATGATGATGGCAACAAATGTACAAATGCACTTGACACAATGGATGTATATATAGATTGTGATAAGAGCTATACGAGCCCCCAATAAAATGATTTTTTAAAAAGTAAGAGAGATGGAACCCCAGTAAGCAATTGCCAGGACAATAGGACAGATTCTTTCCGGTGGCATCTGTGGTGCTCAGCACAACTTCTCCCAGATTGGGGTGGGGAGAGTAGCTGGGGGGTGGGGGGGCGTGTAACAGGTTGCCATTGCAGATCCTTTGGGAATTCTGAAAGGAATTCAATCATGTACAGTAACTCTTTTATGTGTGTGTGCACTAATGTCCCTGGATGATCTGTTCAGCTCTCCTAGTTGAGATGGCAAAATCTTTAAATATACAAACTGGCAGCTACCAATAGTGTTGAGTTCTCTGCCCAGGTATGAAGCACTGATAAACCTCCCACCTTTGATGGGGAAATCATGAGGAACCAGATGTGACATCCAGCTGGTCAGTCTGGTTCGATAAAGCTTTTTATTTCAAGTCCAGCACCTAGTGGGACTGCAGTGTCATCAGACTCTTATGTGACTCGTGAGAGAGCGCTCCAGGCCCCTCCATCCAGGGCACCGTGAAGTACTTGAGCCCGTGAGCACTGGAGGGAATAGCTCACCACCTTTAAGGAGAGCTTCCATTGGCTCTATAGCTTCTGATAATTCTGAAGCGGGTGGAAGGGTGATAATATTTATTATTCGGGGTCATGTAGTGTGGAAATGCATGCTTTGTTGCATTTTTTTGGCCTTCTGCTGTCCAATTTGTTACACTGTAACTCTGAAAAGACATTCAGTAGGAAGAGGCTAGAGAAGCAGTCAAAGGGGGGTGAGTCCTTTAATCTCCCAATGTGACTGCGGATGACCTCCGTCAGTGAGCTGTGAACTTTGCCCTGACTTTTTCCTGTAAGAGCAGAGGGCTGCCTCCAGCTATCCACACACTTCCCCTGTCATCTTCCACGAGTGGCAGACACTTCTGAGACAGTTTGCCAAGGCTGGGGGGGCTGCTGCTCTGTGGAAAAATCCATCAGCCAGAGCACCCCGGGGTCCTCGGCAGTCCAGGAAGCTGGGGCTCTTCCTCACTCCGGCAGAAGGCATCAAGGTGCTAATCCCATGGTACCCTGCCAGCCATGACTTCTCCTCCCATCTGGGTGGCCTAGTCCGCTGCATCCTCTGTCAGTTGCATATAGGAGATAAGTCATGTCAAATCTGCCACATAATGTTCTTCTTTCTTTCCGCAGTGCTTTGACAATAGTGTCCCTTTACATACTTAGCTTGAAAGATCAAGATCAAACTACCCCCAATCTCCTTCCGAGGTAAGAGTTCCGGTCTTCTTTGCCCTAGGGAGAACCTTCTTAAAGGCTTCCATCATTAACCATGTGTTCTTTTCCCCCAGCAATATCACCACTAGCTCCCAGGAGCCAGCTCTGCCCCCCACCGCTTCCCCCTCAGGTAAAATCCTCCCATTGCATCTCTTCAAACTCAGCCTTGTTTCCTAAGAATTGTCAACAGAAGGAACCAACCTTTCTGGTTAACCTTGTGGCTTCTTTCCCCTCTGCCCAATACCTTGCAGCACCTCAGACACCCCTGGCCACCACACAGCCCTCCCTCCAAGTGCCGGAAATCACCTTTTGTGAGATTCTGCCATGTCAGGAGACTCATTGCTGCCCCATCTGGGGAATCAGAGGAGGCTTTTCAAGCCCTGTGCAAAGCCAACCTGAGCAGGAGAAGCAGTTCTACGGGAGGCAGTGGGCAGGTAAGGGGGTTCAAAGAGACATGGCCAGGCATTTGAACTTGAGGTTTTTGCTTTCCGTTCAGGTTTACTGGAAAGTCTGTTAATAATTCCAGATAATGGTTCTTCTCTCCTACTTGGGGCAGCAGAATCTTTGAAAACACAAATACAGAGTTTCCTGCCCAGGATGAAATTTTGGTTACTCAAATAGTTATAATTTTCAGCAAATGAAAGAGTCTCATTTGTCTGCTGCCAACAAAGATAGTAATAGTAGTACAAATGCAGTAATTATGTGCACGTGGGTAGATTTTTTTTGGCTTAGAACTTAAAAAATGATGTGCTTTCTGGGCTCCCTGCCCAAATCAATGAGGGTAAAATTTAAGCGGCTTTGGAAGCTCTAATGAATTCAGGGGAAGCTCTAAGTTAGGGAAAAACGCAAAGTTGGCATTTTGCTTGCAGGATGTCTT